CTTTATTAATTATACATGCTTTGGAGGTGTGGTCGAGGAAAAACCGTAATGATTCTTTGGCCCATGGTCTTATTAAATCATAGCATTTGAGTCTACAGTATATGTGACAGATTATCTTGAAAATTTAAGATAAAAAGTAGTCATCAAATTTTTTATGTAACTAGAACAATGTTTCAATCTTTTATTTATTCCAATTTGCAAGGTAGAAAGATACATACTAAATGAAAGAGATGCTCCAAGTCATAAACACTATTTGATTTTGAATCGTAATCATAAAATATGAGAGATAGACTAAGGGAATGGATCTTCAAAAGAACCTAGTGTGTGAACGTTTCGAGTAAATATAAATGAGGAAAAATATCTTCCATTTCCTCATTCGACAGCTCTGGTGAATGCTAGTTTATTGGAGCTGGGAATTCAACAATAGGGAGAATAAGCCGTTGCACCATAATCTCATTACAAACCGTGTTGTCATGAGTTAAGGATCCACACCTTCCGCAATTTATCATAAATAAACCTAAGGAGGATTGGATCACCTCCATCTTCTAGATCCAAATATCTTGTAAAAATTAACTTTCGATTCACATCCATCGTGATTCGCACCCAAACCTCAGCTGGATCATCCCTTAATGTTAACTTCATCAGCTCTTCCCATATAACCCTCTATGTCTAAGACTGTCTGGACATTCCTATGCTCATTCGGCAAGTTAAAGATCTGAACCCATAAAGAAATGTCTTGCAAATACCTAGGATGGTTCTGATTTGTCCATCGATCTACCGCTACCATCCATTCCTTAAAAGACCAAGGCCCTCCCTTTAACACAACCATAAGATGATGTTCAGTATTAAAGAAAAATTGCACAATACCATCATCATTAACCTGGCCTCTAACTTTTTCTTCCATTTATTCTTCATCCATTTAGGCCTTTGATGCTGATGATTCAGACACCGAACAACCATACTGCGCTCACTATTCAGAGCAGTTCGTCTCCGAGTTTCTACCGGAAGTTAAATCGGCACTTGGTCTGAACCCAGACTTAACTGTTGAAAAGATCTCCAAATTTTACGATCCATGAAATCCACACACTGAAGACCCAATTAGTCAAGAGACAAGCATATCCAAACGGACCGAAGTCGGAATTTGAAAGAGATTTGAAGAAAAACCGAAACAGACTCAGAATCGCACTGTAGCGAAAAGGTACCCTAGAACACTCAACGCGGGTTCTATTATAGTTACT